CTCTTCCTTCCCCCTCCTCCTCTTCCTTCCCCCTCCTCCTCTTCCTTCCCCCTCCTCCTCTTCCTTCACTTCAGTTGTGTTGACCTGTTTTCATTTCTTTCTGTATGTCAATCTCTCTCTCCTCTCTCCTCTCTCCTCTCTCTCTCTCTCTCTCTCTCTCTATCTCTCTCTCTCTCTCTCCTCTACTGGGCCTCACTATGTAGACCTCGCTGTCTTGGAACTTACTACATAGACCTGGTTGGTCTGGTACTGCCAGAGATCTGCTTGCCCCTGCCTCCCCAGTGCTAGGATTAAAGGAATGCACTACAACATCCAACTCAATCTCTTTTTTTGGCCTTAGAACTTTTACAGGATATTCTCCATTCTCCTTCACCCATCTCCTCTCCCCATGCAGGTGCTTGTAATGCCTAGTTACCTTCTCCATTATTCTTAAGTCCAAAAGGAGCTATATTATATATAATTTATTTATTTATAACCCATATCTAGCACAAAATGTCTTTCATATGGCAGCCCTCCACATTTGTTTAAAAAACAAATATTAATTACTGCTTTCATTTAATGTTTTGAGTACATAATATTTATTCTAAAATAGTTCCTAATTTTAAAAAAGGGTCAGAGTGAAGATACAGACCTTGTCATACCAAATCAATGATGGACTTGAAAAACCAGCTGTGTGATCACAGACAAGTTCTTTCCTTCTCCATTCCTATTACCCATGTATAATATTAAATGATTTTATTGGGCACTTATATAGCTTTGGTTTTCAAATCTGATGTGCCACTAAAGGTACACTAGTGAAATTATCTTTTTCCAGGTTCTATTCCTAGAGAATCTTATTCAGTAGCTCAGGGGTAGGATCCAAGAGTTCCTCTGGACCACCACCATGTGACTGTGATGCACAGATGTTTGGGAAAAACTAATGTAGGTCCTTTTAGTTTTGACATCTTACTGTCATGTAATTGTAGGGTGAGACCAATTTAGAAAGTATAGCAGAAGTAGGTGAATTAACATATTCTATTCATTCAAGGCCAGGAAAAATATTTTCTTGCTGTAGGCAAAAGACATGGGGCTTTATGGAAAATATGTTGTTAAAATGTTGGTGATTAGTCCATCTTAGTTAGAGGCCAGAATATATTCAGGGCAGCAAGGGGAAAAATCACCTGTTTTGTTGCAATGGACCCTAGTTCTAGCCTTGTTTTTGCTGTCAAACTTGTTTTCCTCTGGTAGATGAAAGCTTTTATTACTTTATTACTGAAGTTTGATTATTTCATGGAAGTAAAACATGTAGTCATGTGTTGACAGGCCTTACAAGTCTCCTTTGTAAAATATTAGCCCAACATTTTTCAGGCCTCTAGGGGCTGTACCCCTTGCGTTCAACTTTGGTCATCCCATTGGGTTTCTGGTTAGATACAAAGAATATCAGGACCTGCTATGTTATCTAAAATAATAGATTTACTGAAGAATTATTATTATTAAACCAAAGTTGGCTTTTTTGCTTAGACAAAACCATATAAAGGCAACATTCTGAGTAAATTATATAGCGTCCACTTGATGAAATAATGAGCCTAAGTTTAGGGGATGAAAGTGATGATCTAATGCAATATTTAGAATGAATATATAGTATGTAGTTATTAACCTAAAAGTCACATCCTGCATTCTTTTAATTTGTGGAAAATTTGTCACTAATTGCCCAAGAAACCTCTGATTTTTCATACATAATCACCTCATAGCTGATGACTTTCTCCCCCTTCTCCTGCCTTAAAATATAGCCTTATAAACAGTAGCTTACTTTCAGATTTGTATACCCTCTTTAAACATTGAGCTGCTAAGTTTAGCCCTGTTGCTCTTTTTTTTTTTTTTAAATAGAAGTCTTCCCCAACCCTGCCCAACTTTGTCCTTAAACAGCCATCAACAAATCACAGCTTTTTAAAAAATGACAACTAGCTTAAAATTTCAATGAGAACCTGCTCATTCTCAAACACTTTAGGGTTTAATTACCTCTGTATGGAGGAAATGGGTATTATCTTCCTTTGAGAAGTAGTTTGATAGATGAGCTTTAGTCATCTATCTGTATGGAGGAAATGGGTATTATCTTCCTTTGAGAAGTAGTTTGATAGATGAGCTTTGATCCTTCGTTCAACCTAATTCTAAGTGGGGCAGGGCCAGACACACAGAAGTCAAGAATTGAAGGGAAGTCAGAGGTACTAGTGCATGCCTTTAATCTCAGCACTTGGGAGGCAGAGGCAGCCAGATGTCTGTGAGTTCTAGGCCAGTCTCTAAATAGTGAGTTCCAGGGCATTCAGGGCTACATAGAAAGAAAGACCTTGTCTCAAAAACAACAACAACAACAACAAACCAAAAACCCTCTTTTATGGAAATTCAAAAAAGAATTGAAAGAGAAAATTAAGGTAGTAGGCAAGGCACCTAGTTGATATGCAGGTGAGAGTCCAGTTCTTGCCTGTCCTTGGCAAATGTCACAGATCATTTTAGGCTTTGCAGATTAAGCTGTATCATCTAGCCAATCTATTCCCTCAGGTGTCTTTGCTGATATAGGTATATCAGACATCAATTAACTTTGAAGCGAGAGAAATAGACATAAGAAACCTATATTGGTTGATTACTTACAAAGCTTACCTTTTTGAATTCCTGGCCTCTAGTAACCTCAAATCTTCTTAGAGAGTGATTTTTGCCAGGATTTCTTTGAAAGGAAAAAGTAAAATAAAAAGGACCTCAAAATAGCTATATGAAAGAAGTATTTGTCTTATAGAAAAGACTTCAGACTTGAGAAAATGTCCCCAAATTCAGGAAGAGGCATCATGTGAAAAGATTTCTATTGGATCCATTCTATCTTGTCTGCCAAACCTTTAAGAGGATAGTAGAGCTAGAAATGCAGACATTGGACACAAAATTTGAGGCCATTAACTATTTTAAAAAATGTGTTCTGTGTTCATGCTACTTATGGTGATGCTGCAGACTCACCCCCTGCTTCATCCAGCACACTTGAGATATTATCATCCTATATGTGAGGATTTCATGTATCTTTACTTAATAAAAATATGAGTTTGAAAACTATCAATTTAGCTCCAATGATTATTATTTTATAGAGAAAATATGTGTTGGTCAAAAAAGTTAAATTATATACCAACAATCATGTAACTACTTGGATCTTGAAAAAAATTAGAAATCATGAATCTGGACTTCCCATCCAGGGCATTTTTGATACAAAATGTTCTTTTGATTTTGCATTTTGAAAGACACAGAAGTGCTCTGTGAAATGGTGATTAGCACTAGGCAGCCCAGGCAGCCCTGGAGTGCTTCACGGTTCAAATGCCCAAGACCAGATGGAAGTCCAGAAGTGGATGACTCAGAGTTTATTAGTTTTGCCACCTGGGTAGTACAGCCGAACCAGCTGCCACAAGGCAGTTTCAATTTCAACAGAGCAGTAAATGAACATAAAAATGAGAGTCATTCTCTAAAATAAAGGAAAATGGTTGTTTCAGTAGCAGACTCACCCAGGGTGAGTCCTGTTGATATCTCTTATAGGAGGTAACAGCTACCATGCCAGGGAGAGGGCCAGAAATCATTGTGGCACCTTGCCCTGAAAAATCCCTTTGAGTTGTTCCAGAAGCCAGTATCATTTGGGATATGTTTCAATTATAGGCTTTGTAGGTTCCTAGTTACATCTGATGATCTGGAAAAGAATAAACAAGCCAATGCTCTATCCTAGCTATTCCTTGGGGTCTTATAAATTATGGAACATCATGTCATCTTTTCATAGTGCTGGCCTCTGGAGGCATAGGTGTCCAGGGATCATAAGATTCCTATGGAAGATCGTCAGAAACCTGGCCATTATCCTCTTGTTCTCTTACATGGAGTCGAAGGTTTATACTTTCATGCTAATAGTCCCAGCATTCAGGAGACCACGGCAGGAGGACTGCTGCAAGTTTGAAGCTAGCCTGGACAAGACTGTTCCAGGCCAGCCTGGCTACAGACTGAGACTCTGAAACAACCAACCAATCAACAAAAAACAAAATAAAATATAAACATTTCAAGATTTCTTCATGGAACACTGTATGATTTAGAAGTTGAACTTAGGTTTTAGGTGACCCCTTATTAGATCTGTGGTGCTTAAAAACTAAATGAGCATACTGAAGGCTGGAGCTCAGACCAAGTTGAGAGAGCTATAATAATTTTTGTTTAAATGGGAAAGATTTAGTAACAAATTTTTAAAAACTCAAATAATCTTGATTTTTTTCCCTGTCTCAAAAATGCTTAGGCAGGGGCTAGAGAGAATGGCTCAGTGGTTCAGAGCACTGGCTGCTCTTGCAGAGGACCTGGCTTCGAATCCCAGCACCCACATGGTGGCTAACAATCATCCCTAACTCCAGTTCCAGGGGATCTGACATTCTTGTCTGACCTCCACAGGCAATACACTCATATACATATATGAAAATAATAAATTAAAAAATTTAAAAAATGCTTAGGCAGCAACTAAGAAAAAACTCAACTAAACTGGTCTACTAGAAGCTCAGTGTTACTGCTTTTCATGCATCGAGAAGCATAGAAGAATGTTACACCTTGCTTTGGTTCATCTGCTTAGCAGTGATATAGGATTTTTTTGGTGTCATCATGATGAAGAGAACAAAGGCATAGATGGAGATCATAAAGATAGATACTAGTTTCTGATACATTTCGTTGTGGCTTTGATGCTCAAGGCTAGACCAAGATGCCATTGGCCTTGCCAACCTCAGCCTTCAGATGATCTTTTCAGGAGATGAATATTTATGTGTTTATATTTCTCAATTGATCATTACGTAGTCTTATGCAAGAATGTAATACTGTGCTTTATTTGTAGGAAGAGAATGCAGACACATATTTATTCATTTATTTGGAGTTTATTTTTCCTCTACACTAATGTGCAGTGCAGTGGCTTTTGTATTACATACTTTATTCATGAGTACAGATAAACTCTCTTTTTGTTTTCTTTCTTTTCCTGGCAGGTGGCATGTTTGACCCAGGTAGCTGCCAATTATCTTATTGGGCAAAAGGAAGCAAAGCGCTGGGGCACAGCTCATGGCAGCATTGTTCCTTATCAGGTAAGAATACAATCCAGCCTTGAATTACTTAATCTGCATGTTTTCTACCACATCATACAAAACATTTGGATAATAATTTTTTCACGAACCCTCCAGGGTGTTCTGTAATGTGTCTCTGTCTCATTACAACAAGGTTCTGTTGTTCTCTTTAAATTCTGTGTTGTGCATATTTCTTCATCAGAAGATGTGTAATAGGATGCTTAAATGGATCAAAGGAACTTACTGAAAGTGAATGACTTTTGGGCTCATATGATGATTTTCTTCCCCACTCCAAAGCTTCTATTAGGTCAATGACTGTAGACACTTTATAAGGCATGATGTGTAACCCTGCCAGTTATAAAACAAATGTTATCTTCCCCATTTGACAATAATATTCTCACAGGGGTAAAGTGAAAATCTGCATGTGAGGGATCTTCATTCTTGGAGCAAAACAGATGGTTTAGGAACTGCTGTTCTTTATTAAGTGTCTAAACTTATCCTCAGAAATTCTGGACTTTGGCTAGTGTGAATGAATATGTGAAGAGACTGTAATATTTCAAAAATAAAAACAAGAACTCTACTACTTCCAAACCTTTCTCTAGCCCAGTTGTACACTTAATTGCGTTTATTAGTACATTTGTCATGTCTTCCACACTGCATCATCAATTTAAGGGAAGAGCTGTCTTTTTTAGCCTTGTGTCTCTTCTCATATCCAGCAGAAACACAGATAGCATGCCCTATGTCTGTTGAATGAAGGAAGGAACTTTAGCTATTTCAGTGTGAGTATTCTTGATAGAAAACATAAAACTCAGCATTTTTCATTGCTAGGAAATCCACCAGCACTTTTTGTTACTCTCTCAAGAAATTACTTTCTTATGCAAAGCTAGTTTCTTTTCCATTAAAAAAAATAAATCTAAATTTGAGGAAAGCAGCAATTCAGTGTGAGCCCAGGATACCTCCTTCTCATGCTCTGTTTATGGCCCTTTTATATTTGAGGCTTTGCTATGATTTTCCAGTAGAACTACCTTTTTCAAGTTGGGTTAATCTTCTGGTATAATTACAAGTTTTGCTCCATCTGTGGATTTATGAGCACCCTAGACTTTTAGCCAGATATACCTTGCTTCATAAAAGTCCTTGTATTTTGGGGGTCTGGAGAGATGACTCAGCAGTTAAGAGCACTGACTGCTCTTGCAGAGGACCCAGGTTCGATTCCTGGCACCCATATGGCGGCTACAAACCGTCCTTAACTCCAGGGGAATCTGATGCTGTCTTCTGACCTCTGCGGCATTGCACGACATGGGTGAGCTCACATACATGCAGGCAATGTACTCATACACATAAAATAAAAAAATAATAAAATATTTTTCAAAAGTCCTTAAAAAAGTCCTTATATTTTTGAATGGGTTAGAGATAATAAGATTCATTCTTCTTACTTTTCAGAAATCTGATAGTTGGATTGAGTAAACGGATTCCAGCAATGACATCTTCAGTTTTCAGTTCCTTCTACCAATGACAGGAGTGTGTTGTTTTTGGTTCCCTTCAAATCCATACCCCCTCTGTCCAGCTTGCTCCTAACACCTGAGTATCATTAAGTGATTCGTATTTATTACTGATGAAACTTCTTCTCAAGGGCATTTTAGCAAAGGACAATGTTGGAATGTACATGAATTCATCTCAAATAATGGGAGTGCTGGCTTCAGTCTTTTATGTAAATGGAAAAAGCATTTCTGAGTTGGAAGGTTTTATAGGGTAATCCTGAGTCACATCACAAAGGCAGGTAGGTGTTCACTATTTCAAGTATGAAGTTTATAGTTCATTTTTTATTCTTTATTTAAGTGAAAATAGAATGTCTTTAAAAAAAAAAATTGCTGTAGATCTCAATTTTACCCTCTTCCCACTTCCCTCCGGCATCCACACTTAGAATTCTGGCACCCTAAACAATGTCTTAATTATTTCATTGTGAGGGACAAGTGAATTCTGAATCTTTGGTTTTCATTTTAGAGGGTAAAAAGTATAGAAGGTGTGTGTGTGTGTGTGTGTGTGTGTGTGTGTGTGTGTGTTCTGAAAATGGATGCATTTCCTGGTTGAATCATCTCAGCCATAATAAATGATACTTGGCTTATTTGATCACAGTTGATTGTAAGAAAAAAATAGATCTGCTTTGATCTTTCCTCAGGAGTCTAGAATTCCTTTGTCTCCCCTTGGTAGAGAACTAGTCAAGAACAATGATTAAAAATTAAATGCAAATTTAACTTGAATGAAGCTAGCAAGATGTTTCCTGGAAATACTAGAGATCTTTGTCTGTTTGGAATTTTTAAATAGATCTGGGAAATATTTTTCATTAGTGAATGCCAAGATAATTATAATTCAGTTTCCTATAGTAATTACAACTTTGCATCTAATTTTGAGTTTTTAGCCTAGTGTCTATAATAAAGATTCTGATAGTTAGGAGTTTGTTAAGATGTCCAGCTTGTTTTTCTCAGTTGTTGAACTCATGTGGACAATCATAGACTTTGAATGTATGGAATATATATTTCTAAGTAATGGTGAACCTGGATTATTTATGATTTTATTACCCTTTAAATTTTAATTTCTCAGATTGATTATCCACTGATGCACCTTTCTTAATTATTTGACTGCCAACATTTATTTATTTATTTATTTATTTATTTATTCATTCATTCATTCATTCATTCATTCATTCATTCATTCCAGGCTCATAATCCCAACTACTTGGAAGGCTGAAGCAAGGAGGATCACAAGTTCAAGGACTGCACAGGTGTATGGCACTATACTCAGCTTGCTCTAAAAGTTTTAGAACTGAGCAAGTTAAATAAAAATAGCAATGAAAGAGATAAAAGTTTCATGTTTGTTGAACATGTCGGTAGGCAATTTTGTGAAAACTAAAATTCTTAAAAATGTTTGAATTTCAATGGTTGGTTTCTTTCCATTACTTGCCCTAGAGAAACACCGAGCCTAAAAGACTAATAATTGCATACTGCTCATGTTATTTACTTACTTATTTTGGAGGTGAGTCAAATAGCAATGAAAGAGATAAAAGTTTCATGTTTGTTGAACATGTCGGTAGGCAATTTTGTGAAAACTAAAATTCTTAAAAATGTTTGAATTTCAATGGTTGGTTTCTTTCCATTACTTGCCCTAGAGAAACACCGAGCCTAAAAGACTAATAATTGCATACTGCTCATGTTATTTACTTACTTATTTTGGAGGTGAGTCTCATTACCTAGCTAACAATCTGAAATTCAAGATCCTCCTGCTTCAGCCTCCTGAGTGATGAAATAACAAGTGTACATCACCATGCCCAACTTAATATTTTAATGTTAATATTTTAAAACCATTTATATGTTTTCAGTCTTTTAAACAGTTATAAAGAAAAGATATGTAGATGAGAAAAATGTGTAGAGAAAGAAGATAGCTATATTTTATTATGTGACAGTTGTTGATGGGGACATTGCCCTTTAGGTAAATGGCTCACATGGTCATCCTTTTTTTTATGCTTTGAAGAATTATGTTTTTTTAAAAAAATTTTTTAAAAATTAATAACCACATGATTAGAAGAAGCATTTCATTACAGCTTTAACATGCCCAATAACAGTTTCCAGAGCAAAGACACAGCTCCTTCAAAAGTGGCTATAAAATTTCTAGGTTCGCTGTTGAATCAATACAGTTATACAATATTGAACTCAGAATAAACCCTGTAAGATATAAAATTGAATGCATTTTTACCCTTTAAAGAAGATCTCCATTTCAAAATATGCTGTTTCCTACATTTTTTAAAATATTATTTACTTTTTTAAGAAGAAGCATATCATTACAGCTTTAACATGCCCAATAACAGTTTCCAGAGCAAAGACACAGCTCCTTCAAAAGTGGCTATAAAATTTCTAGGTTCGCTGTTGAATCAATACAGTTATACAATATTGAACTTAGTATAAGCCCTGTAAAGACATAAAATTGTATGTTTTTAACCCTCAAAAGAGATCTCCATTTCATTCTGAAATATACTGTTTCTTACAGAAAGACTCATTGTTTTTGCTACTAACAATGAGATGTTGGTGCATGCATCTCTAATCTCTATGTATCTGATTATTACTAGTCATAATCATTTGCACTGGGATCCTTGGCACTTGTGTATGTCTATAAAGTCATCGGGTAGATTTCAGTGGTAATGTTCATCACCTCTACTAATTAACATGACGTAAACTTTTATGCTTCCTCATCAAATATAATGCATTTTTTAAAAATTTGATTTTTTTCTGTCCCATAGCCTCCCTCCCCCCACTACAGTCCTTATGCTCTGTTATCCCTGCTACTGTCTGCTGTGATATCATCACCCCTAGCCATTCCCCACTACTTGTCCATCTGGTGAATCTAGTCAGCCTATCTAGAGGTCTTTGTTTTAGGAGGGTCAGCTGTTCTACATCTAGCAGCAATCAGTTGTCAGTATTCCTTTAGATAAGATTGGGGTTTACTGTTCACTTTCCCAGTTCTATGCTGGGTTACTATCTGGGAATCCCTTGGGCCACCCTGGCGAACAACTCAAAAAAAGGTATATCCTACCTGGCATTGTTGCTTGTTGTGTAGCATTTAGCTATACATATGGACCCTTAAAAATTATATTGGTTCCTTTAATCTTTGGTTATATTTTCCTTCTGGGTGTTTAAGGCCAAACAGTTGGGACAGATGAACCAATTTATTTTTACTCGTAAGGTTGTTTGAGGATCTGTTCCTCAGGGATCACATGGGCTTGGGAGGAGCCCCCGGCTCCTTTCTTTTACCAGTTCTGCCTATGTGAAGGTAAGTCAAACATCCTACTATACCATGGCTGGCTTCACTTGGAAGCATGGAGGAAATGATTTCTCTGTGTTGACACTCCTCTTTGTAGACTGGACACTGGTTCATGTCCATCTTGTGGGGTCTTCTTGGCCTCCTTGATCAAGAGGACAGGTGACCCACCACAATTACAGGACATTTTGGGAGATGCTCATAGTCCCCTGGAA